CCCAAAGCATAGTATGTTGAAAAGAGTATGCCAAAAGTCCCCGGATGGTCTACTATTTCAGGTATAGATTTTTGAAGTGTGGATACACTTCAAACACTACAAAGGAGGAAGAGCTTTTTCGCATTTGGCTCCCAAACTCTGGAATAGCCTTCCTGATAACGTTCGGGGTTTATATGACTGTCTCAAAAAAAAAAAAAAACTCCCTAAAACATTATTTTATGGTTGTAAAAATATAAAACCTAAAAAGAACATTCCCAGAATGTCATTATTTGGTTCCCCGCCCAAAAAAAATTGGGAAAAGTTCTGTGATTGCAGGGCTTGTTGTACTTCAGACTCAGTCAATAGAGCCATAATTAATAAAAAAATGAATTTATTTTGTGTCTAGCTGAATTTCTATCAATAATTTTCAATTTCACACAGAAATATGAGTCAGTTCGTTACCTCACAGCGCGACACAAAGGGCAACAATTGCGGTTGTTAATCAAACCTTGCTTTCATTTACATTTCATTTTCAATCTGAGAACTAACTGACTGACTTATGATTTCATAACTGACTGAAAAAATTAAGTTTGAAAAGGGCACAAACCCCTGTGGCGCCATAATAGCTGATGACATGAAGATTACAGTACCTACCAAGCTGACTTACCATGGTGCATCTCTGTGGAGCCTGATAGTCTTTATCAACGTCTAATTGGGGTTAATTAGGCTTTAAAGTAACCTCACTGGAAATGCTGTAGTTATGAGCAGATTACATGATGAGCCGCTGTGAGCTTTGCACATCTGAAAGACAAGGAGATGGGGAAAGTTGAAGCACAGAATGAAAGAAGGCCGGCGAGATGTAGTGTCACATGGAACGGCAACATTTAATGACAAATGTCGGTGCGTATAGCGCCTGTGTGGTCCAACGTAGATTGGAGATCGAAATGAGACTTGCTGAAAGCTGTGTTGTGATTATTTGCTCACTTCAACCAAGTCCATATGACTGTTGTGTTGCCATGGGCTGAAAAAAAGTCTCAAAACTCTGTGCAATAACCATGTAGTGGCAGCTCACCCCGAAGACATGAACGAATGTTTCATGATGGATTGAGAGTAAACAGTGGAGAAATAAATGAATTATTTTCTCTTGAGTTAGCAGAGCAAATGCCATGGTTAAAACTGCTGTATACACTTTTTATATAGCAAAACAGCTCAGGATTCAAAACGAACAACAGTATTTTCTTTCAAGTTTGTCATTTATTTATTTATTTTTTAATTTATGTAGCTTTTTATGTGTTCTTTTCTTCTTCGCTTTTTTACGGCTTTTCACAATGCGCTTAACCCCGTCGTTCTAAACCCCACTTTTAACTGCAGGTAGAGAAGTGTTTCACACTTAATTTAGGGTACGCTTACATGACAACAATGTACTAAAAACAAAAACAACAAAATTTCTTTGCGTTTTTGAAAAGTTTCACATACAGACATCAACATTGTCGAAAAGATCCCCGTTCACACAGATCCGCGAAAACGAGTAAAAGCGCTGTATTATTCCTGCCAGGCCAGTAGTTGGCGATGTCACTCTGTAAAGAAACATACCAACAGACTGCGCAGGACATCACAAATTTGCATTTTTGTAGTTTACACAAAAACTGCATCTCATTTTCTCCTCCAACTTCGAAATCGTCCGACATCGTTGTTTTACCTTTTTTATTTGTAAAGGGCGTTTGACTTTCTTTGCACGTTCGCTTTGTAAAGACGTGGAGACGTGCTGAAATCGCATTTGGTCTCGTACTCGTGCGCTTTGCTTGGCCATTTGTTGTGATAAACAGGAAAGTGTGTTCAAGCACCAGCAAAACAGTGTAAAGAAATACTCTTTGTGAGAAGCAGTCAATCAGCAGAAGTTAAAAGCAGCTTGTAAGTGTATTTATTTCTTGTCTCAGTGTTTAGCGCAGTTGTCGTTGCTAGGAAACGCTTGTTTTGTTTACTGTGGAGACATGCTGAAATCGCGTTTGGTCTCGTACTGTATCGCGTACCTCGTCAGTGTCGTGCACTTTGCTTGGCCATTTGTTGATTTTTCTGTACATTTCTGCTATATGTACATTAACTGAGTCACCACTGATAAGCTACCACTAAATATTGTAGAAACTTAATTTGCTGTAAAGTTGCTTTGCAACGATTTGTATCGGAAAAAGCGCTATACAAATAAACTTGAATTTAATTTAATTTAATTGGAGCTTTTATTATGCCACATTCGACCGCTTCCGCTGCTTCCGGTCGTGCGTATGTGGGGTAAAGCAGCGCTGTTTTATCATACTAGATACATTTGAAAGTTCTGTTATAATGCTACTCTGTGCGGTCGTCACCGGTCTATTAAAACGTTTTGGATATTTTAATAACAATTTTTTACATATTGTGCCTTTATCATTTAAATGCATCATTATACATAAGAATATGAGCAGAGTTTTCCGCATAAAAACCCACGGCTGGCAGATCAAAGTGCTACTTCTTTTCTCTCTAATACGGTAGGAAGTTACATGAAATGAAATGAAATGAAATGTGGAGGATGTTAACTGTGACAGGATGATTGACAGGCCAGTTTACAGTGACAGGGTGTGTGTAACTATGCGACAGAGCAGTCTGTTAAAGACCCAATCATGACGTGATAGTTTGTCCCAAAGCTTGCCTACTCTTCTACTGCACACTCAAAATTGTGAACTTTTTCTTCACCAAAGGAGTACATACTTTAAGGGCGTGTTATAAGTAGGCACATTGAGACGCAGCATAAGTGTTGACACTGTCAAAATGCACTCGTTCACATTAAAGACTTTTGGCCCCGTCCGCCTTCCATATTTCAGCGTTTGAGGGGGAAAAAGTCAAATGATGACGTATATGTGTAAAATTGAAGTGGAGAAGAGAGCATTTAATTCTTACCTTTATAGTCACTTCCGGTTCCACCGTCCTGAAGTCAATGGGATTTTAATGGGTTTTTGGTAAAATTGAATGAAATAAAGTCTGTGTTTAACACAAGCTCAGGATATTTTCACGTTTTATTCTACGACAAAAAAAAAAACATAATTAATGCACCCTTTAATTTTTTTAATTAAAAAATTATTTCTATAGTAAAATATAATTCTGAATCTGCAATGTACAGTCATGGTCAAAAGTTTTGGCAGGGACATACATTTTGTGTTTTGCAAAGTTTGCTGCTTAAGCTGTTGTGGTGTTCATTCACATTGCTTCTAGATTATCGTGTAGAGTGATCAGATGCATTTTAAATAATTGCTAAAAGCTTCATTGGCCAAAAAATGAACTTTTCACAAAAACACACATTTCACTGTTTTTTGATCCTGACACCAAATGACTAGCTAACATTAATTGACTAATCATATCAGCACTGCTTAAGCTGTTGTGGTGTTCATTCACATTGCTTCTAGATTATCGTGTAGAGTGATCAGATGCATTTTAAATAATTGCTAAAAGCTTCATTGGCCAAAAAATGAACTTTTCACAAAAACACACATTTCACTGTTTTTTGATCCTGACACCAAATGACTAGCTAACATTAATTGACTAATCATATCAGCTGCACATGTGAAAGTGTGAATGAGTACTAGTCAGGTTAATCACTATCATACTAATTAGATTGTAAGAGCAGACTGATGGAGGGAAGAAGCGCTTCCAATCATTGTGTTCTTGTTAGCAATGGTTACCTCCAAAGAAACACGTGCAGCCATCATCACTTTGCATCAAAATGGCCTCACGTGCGAGGAAAATGCTACAAAGAATATTGCATCCTTTTTTCTTTTTTTTTTTTGCATTATGCAACACCATGTAACTTGTCATGACCCTGTCAGACTTGGATAGATAACACTAGTGCTATATGAACACTTTCCCGGGTAAATTTTACAGTTTAACCTGGTAAAAAACAGTCATTAATTACATGACTGAACTTGAAACTCTAAAAATTAACTCATGGAACTCGTTATGAATATATAGCCTACACATCATACTAAATTCTGGATGAAACTAACTTTTCTCACCACAAGATGGTGCAGTTTCATTACAAAACATATTAAAAACGGCACAGAATGCGCTTTTTACAACTTAGCCTAATAATCAGTCTGTTGTCAGTTATTAGGTTAACCTGCTAACCTGTTGACCTATAGGCAACTTTTTACATATCATTCAGTCTAAAACTGATGGTTAACATTTCAATTGTAATCATGTATGAGATAATTATATATATATAGCCTATATAAAAGATATTCTGTAGGCTATTCTAAAAGATAAAAAGATATTCAATTTCTACAGTACTGCTACAACACTAATCTACTGCCTATCTGACACTGACGCTCATTACTCTCGAAGTACACACTGCACTTACAGAGGAGAAATATTCACAGCATCCTGTTGTGAAATTGCTTTGTGTATTTTTTTTTCTAATGCGTGTGCATTTTCATTGTGAGGTTTGCTGTTCCATATTATTTTAATATTTATATGAATATTCCCGAGGTTTTTTTTTCCTGAAACATTTTAGTTGGACTTTCATCTAACCTTTTATTTTGATTTTTTTATATTTTACTACTTGTTTCGTTCAAAACTAAATAATGTTCGCACAACCAAGAAAAAAACGTTTCTAAAACATTTTTAAACCGAACGTTTTGAACATTTAGAAAACATTCATAAATGACGCTTTTATAACTTAATGGCAACGTTAGCATTACGTTCTTATAACATATTTCTGTTAGCTGGGTTTATTCTGTTCACAAACAAATAAACACTAAAATAACAAGAATACTTGCATTCAACGTGCAATATCTATTTTCCATGTCAAATGTTTTGTGGGCAGTTCATTCGTGACATTAAACGCGTTCTAGTGTAAATGAAACCGTCGCGTCCGCTTCCATGACGCTCCCCCTGATGGACGTGACTTCCACCACGAGACGCGAAGCCACGCCCACCTGATTCATATGCAAATGACGCATGTGACGCGAGGGCGTTCCGCGCTTTATAATGCTGCGCGCAGCTTCTTCCTCTCAGCACCAGTGCGGACAAACCACTCAGCGCGACATTCCTGCCAGACTACACCAAATATCACTGTAAAATTACAGCTACATACAGGTAAGACGCTAGCTGGCACTACTTAGAAGTTTAAAACACATAAAAAAAAAAAAGCTATAGTCTTAAAGCGCAAAATATGCGGTTTTGGGTAGTATTTTTCTGTCTATATGTAATAAAAAATATATATATATATTATTTATATATAGCATTCATTATTAGATTGTGTCACATCCTCACTGTAATGTGCAGAGAGATAATCATCATTAATTCCTGAAGAAAGCAACAGTTTGGCTGTGATGTGACGTAATCGTCGATGCACACCATGAAAACAAATATTTACTAATAATTAGACGCATTTTTCACTTCTTGTGAACTCAAACACGACCTGCTGCTGATTGTTTCAAAATAAAGATTATGATCAGGTATTGACGTTAAAGCAAATGCATTTCTTTATCACGCAGTGGTTATTTGCGCGCATTATTGGAGCATATGAATCATGGTGATGCAGTGTCACTGAAGCCTACGTGCTTCAAGAAATCTGTACTTCTTGCTTCCTGAACGGCAAAGGATTCTGGGACTTGTGGTGATTATGGGTGCATTTGGGGTCGTCCGCATACTTGAACACATAAAAGTTCCGTTTTGCAAATTTTTTTTTGTTGCGCAAGATGAGTCGGTTTTTCATTCAGCATGTGTAGAATTTCCCCATGTACGATCTTGAGTTGAATCAGCTCAACGCCAGCCTCCTTAAAATGACAATTACTGTGATACAATAATTAGAATCGACTGAGAACCAGTGTTATTTTGGTATATAGTTGAGCTTATATTATAGTTTTATTTAACATTTTGAATTCGTTAATTTGACTTATTTTAGTATTTATTATTATTCTTATTATTAAATATGTCTATAGTTGTTAATTATGTTTCAGTTATTTTAGTACATCAAGTTACTAAACTAAATGAAAAGAATTCCTTGGCAACGTCTTGAAAAAAAAAAAATTTCACTTCATTTTATTTTGTATATATTTATTTATCTAACAATACAACACAAACTGTAACTCTAAAATATTCTTATTTATTGGTTAAAACTCAAAATAAATAAATGTGAATTTAATCAATTCATCAGTGCATGTTCTACAAGGTCTCAAGTGTAAACATAATTCATTAAAATGTTTAGTTTTCTAGTGATGATAAATGACTACAGACGTTAGGGATGGTCTCTAAAGTGCTCGTGTTTTGAGTGCGTGTGATGAATGAGGTTTAAGTCATGAGTGAGGGGCTCTTAAGGTGGTTTGTTGATCCACTTTGCATGAGTTCTGCAGATCCTTTCCTCTACGTGCGTCTGCGCGCACAACACTGCAGAGGCTGGACGACGTGAGGGATGAAAATAGCGCTTTGCTCTTACACCTTTAACCTTTTCCCTCACTGCACTTGACTTGAAGATGAAATGGCTACATCCCTTAGTGGATGCCACAGTGACATGTAAATGATCCATCAGAGCAGCTGTTTGTTTCAAAATGCCGTCTTATAAGAAGCAGTTCAGATTCACATTACCCACAGTTCCTTCCGTCTTGACGAGCATTGGTACTGCAAGCAAATCAATGATGCATTTAAAATGCATCCTAACTGAGGAGTTTCTGTCTCCTGCAGCTGAAGATGGCCTCTACGAAGGAGAAGCTCATCGCTCACGTGAGCAAGGAGGGGCCGGCAAGGCCCACTAACAAGGTGACAGTGGTGGGTGTGGGGATGGTTGGGATGGCCGCCGCCATCAGCATCCTCCTCAAGGTCAGTGAGTCACTGCACTGGATAAACACCATCACAGAACACATTATATAACTGACAACAACATTCATGTTCAAGTCATTTAAAATGTTTCAAATTCATTTTAAAATAGAATAATGGTTGCTAACTTATTTTTAAATAAAATTAGTAAAATTGGAAGTTTTAAATTATGCATTGACTAATTATTAAAAAACAAAAACAAGCTGAGTAATAAAATAAAAAATTTAATTATAATTTTTATTTAATTCTAAAATATTTTGAGGAATTATAAAATTGAGTTATTAATAATTTTTTTTTTTTAAATCAAGTAACCATCTAAATTACAGATTTATTTTAAAAGTAATTGAAAGATTAATCATTTATTTCAAAATAATCTCATTTAGGTCATTTGACGGGTCTAATTTTACTTTTTTAAAATTGGGCCTTTTTAAAATATCTAAATGATAGATTTATTTTAAAATGAGTTGAGAAATAAATAATTTATTTTTAAATAAATTTAGTAAAATTAGACCTTTTGTAAATGATCTACATGACACAATTTTCATCACTGTAATCATAAAGGACAGAAATGTGCCTTCTGGTTTCTACGATGCATGCTCAGTGAACCACAATTCTGTTGTGGATTTGAATCTGGCTCGCAACATTTCCTAACCCTGTTCCCCCATCATTTCCTGTCTATCTTTACTGTTTCTGTAAAGAGTAGTGGTGAAAATGAGGAAAAATACCATTTCATTGATATGACTGTATAAATCTCATATCACTTATATAGAAATTTGAGTTTTAATACAAATTTTATGAGGTAAAAAATGAATTATGTGCCAACACAACTTCTATGATTTTAATAAACTTTTTACAACTGGTAAGAATTTGCACAGTTTGTGTATGTCCAAATGAAATCAAATGCCTTGTTGTGTCCACTTTTTCCTATAACCTCTAAACCAAAAACTATGGAATGAAAACATCATATTGATTCCTGTATCTTCCTTGAACTATCGTGTTCTTCTCCTGAATTCTCACTTTGGGTAAAGCTGCTGTGGCTCGAGGAAAATAACACTGGCTTTGAAAGCTTTCCTGACCTTTGAACATAGAGCGATTTCTGAATGAGAAGGAAGGCCTTGAACCTCCGCCAAGATCAAACACGATCCCCGTATCTGGAGACTAAGCAAATTCTAAGAGTTTGCTTCACACTTCAGCTCTCTGCATTTTTCCATTGGTGTTAAATGCAATTGTTGAACCTACAATGCCATATTAAGAAGAAATATAGTGTAACTTCAATTTTACTCTGAATTAAACCGGTTGAGGCGACTAGGCGATAAAATAAAATCCTAAACTCAACATTTACCAGCGCTGTTGGCCATTAAGTGGTGGAGAGGATTGTATTCTCAGTAGAGGAGTGTTGAAGTCAATGCATGTGTTTGTGCAGGATCTGACTGATGAACTCGCCCTAGTGGACGTGATGGAAGATAAACTGAAAGGAGAGGCTATGGACCTGCAGCATGGAAGCCTCTTTCTCAAGACGCACAAGATAGTGGCGGATAAAGGTCAGATTTCATAATCTACTATTGGGAAAAAAGGGAGAATTTATGGTTGATGATAAGGAGCAGACAGTTCAATTGGTGCTGATTTGGTAATAATGTACCAGTGAGGTAACCTCGATTCAGAAATATGTAATGTAATTACAAAATTGTTTACCATTTAAATAACAGTAGAAGTAAAATATTTAAATTAAAAGCAGCATTCAGCAATTTAAAAGGGAACTGCATATTTATTAGTTATATAAAATGTATATATTTTTTAATTAACAAAAGTGATGAATAACTTACCAGTTTGCTTTGACCTAAAATAATCATTGTCCCCCTAAATGCCCAGACACACCACACAGACATCAAAGAATTAGCATCTGGGCCAAAAAGTTGCTTGAACACACTGCAAAGTCTACAGCCTTTGGCCAACTAGCATGTACGTTCTGTGCCTGCGTGAGAGAAAATAACTCTCCATACCAGCAGGTGGCAGCAGTTTGTATTCGTGATTTCAAAAGGAAAACCGGAAGAGTTAAAACTGTGGATGTAAAAACCTTAACGCTGCACTTGCTCACCATTTTCAAACCAAAGATGAAAAATGAGAAGAGCTCTTGAATTTTGTTACTTCTGCTTTTCTTCTCGTATACTGGTTCACTAAACTGAACAGCCAATCAGAGTGTTCTGAACCTCAGCAACAGGTTTCACCATCAATTTAACGTGCTCGGGCATCTAAAAAGCTGAGGTTCGACTGGTGCCAACAGTGCGAAACTCAATGCAAAAAATAGTAAAGATGATCAACTAGTGCTCATCACGCAAAAAAAAAAAACATAAAAGTAGATCGTACATTAACATGTTGCTAAGCTAACAAAGTGCAAGCGCACAAATATTGGGTGCAGGTTTAATTGGATTGATTATGTCTTTAATTGATTTTCCGTACATTTCTGCCGTATGTACATTAACTGACAGTCACAACTGATAAGCTACTACTAAATATATTGTAGAAACTTAATTTTCTGTAAAGTTGCTTTGCAACGATTTGTATTGTGAAAAGCGCTATACAAATAAACTTGAATTGAATTGAATTTACAGAGCAACTAATCTGAACAACTCTTCATGCACAGCAACTCCCACAAGCGCTCATGACGTGAAACGCATAAAAGACTATTTAAATTTTTTTTTTGCTAGTGTAAACTGGTCTGTAGGAGTTCTTGTATGAAGTCTAAACCCTAGGTCTTCAACCCTGCACCAACTGTCCAGCAGAGTACAGCTACAACCCTAATCAAACACCTGAACCATCTAATCAGTCTTCAGGATTGCTTGAAAAATCACAGGCTACGTGAGCTGAAGCAGGTTGGAAATAAACTTTGCAGGACAGTGGGTCCCTAGGAGCAGGGTTGAAGACCTAGGGTCTAAACCAGAGGTGACCAATCCTATTCCTGGAGATCTACCTACCTGCAGAGTTCAGCTCCAACCCTGATCCAACACACCTTTCTGTAATTATCAAGGGCTCCTGAAGATCTTACTAGCTGGTTCGGTTGCGTTTGATCAGGGTTGGAGCTGAACTCTGCAGGGAGGAAGATCTCCAGGAACAGGACTGGGCACCCCTGTCTAAACAAATATTTGCAATTATTCAGTCTTGGGGTGCATTTTCCAAAAACATCATGAGCATAATCACATTTTAGAGACCATTGGTGCCAGTGGTTTCTACGATCTACTTAAGCTTGGTCTTAGCAAGCCTTGAGAGAGTGTTTGACAGGAATATAGAAACCAGGGGAGCATGAGATCTTTCCAAAATTGATCATTCCATGTGATTTCCAGACTACAGCGTGACGGCAAACTCCAAAGTGGTCGTTGTGACCGCTGGAGCCCGTCAGCAGGAGGGCGAGAGCCGCCTGAACCTCGTCCAAAGGAACGTCAACATCTTCAAGTTCATCATCCCCAACATCATCAAGTACAGCCCCAACTGCATCCTTCTGGTGGTCTCAAACCCAGGTACGTCATTCCTGGACCGACATTACGACTGAACGTCCTTTTGTGCTCAAAGGTTTCCGTTGACTTCATGTAGCAGAGACCATAAACCAATGTCGTCTTCTCTTCAGTTGACATCTTGACCTACGTGGCCTGGAAGTTGAGCGGTTTGCCCAGGAACCGTGTGATCGGCAGCGGCACAAACCTGGACTCTGCTCGTTTCCGTTACCTGATGGGAGAGAAGTTGGGCATTCACCCATCTAGCTGCCACGGTTGGGTCATTGGAGAACATGGAGACTCCAGCGGTGAGGACTGCAAAGATGATTGGGAGCACAGATGTGCTTCAAGAGCACAATGAACACCAATCATTTTCTTCATAAAATGTAAACGTTCTCTTTCTTTTGTAGTTCCTGTGTGGAGCGGAGTCAACGTGGCTGGAGTGTCCCTCCAGGGTCTGAACCCTGACATGGGAACAGATAAAGACAAGGAGGACTGGAAGAGCGTCCACAAGATGGTGGTTGACAGGTGAATAATTTGTAACCAACTAGACATTCATACAGTGGTTTAGAACGACATATAGAAGGGTTTTAGGGAGAGAGGCCAAGGGTTAAGAGTCGTTTCTCTTCATTTGTATATGATCTCTAATAGATGTGTACACCGTGTTGCCATTAGAAAGCCTATAAATCAAGTCCTTGTGTAAATGTATTTAGTCTGGACTCGTGGTTGTTTATCTGTGTTTAACATAAATCTGGTTTGTATTGGCAGTGCATATGAGGTTATTAAGCTGAAGGGCTACACTTCCTGGGCTATTGGTATGTCTGTAGCTGACATGTGTGAGAGCATCTTGAAGAACCTACGCAAGTGTCATCCAGTTTCAACTTTGGTCAAGGTGAAATTCTCTTGTTTATTTCTGGACGACCAGTCATATTCATTAACCAAATATTGTGAGCCATAATTTTTCTAGTACAGAGAGTCAAAACATAAATATGCACATATATAATAATAAACTCCATTCCAAAACCACCATCTAATGACTACATAGGCAACTACCTTCTATGGCAACATCCTGGTCCAAGTCCAAGTGAGGGAGTTGAGAAGCTTTTCATGGACAGCAACTCCTATGCAACACAAACTTAAAGCACAGACGAACTGACTAACGTTCAGAGTTGGTTCCAGTATTTTAACAGTTGGATCGTTAGCATGTTGCTAAGCTAACAATCTTATGTACTGCGTACCCGATCTGAACAACTTTTTGTGTGCCACAAATAATGCTCATAACGCAAAGAGCTTAAGACTTGATTAACATTCAGAGTTGGTTCCAGTACGTCTTGCGTTAGCATGTTGCTAAAGTAACAAAGCGCAAACGCACAAATATCGGGTGAAATTTTTATTGGATTGATTTATGTACCAAGTAACTGACCTGATCAACCCTTCATGGACAGTATGTCCCACAAGTGCCACAAACGCCGCAAGTGAAGCGTACAAAAGACTTGACTCATGTTCACAGTTTGTTCCAATAGATCTTATGTTAGTTAGGGTGACCATACGTGCCATTTTCCCAGGACGCGTCCTGGCCAGGATTTCTTTATTGCTTTGATTCAAAGTACCTCGACAGCATTTCGAAAACACAAGGAACCGATGTCATACACCGATCGGTCTGCACACGCAAACAAAGCCAAACCCTAGATATTTTAGGCAATATAGAAATCCTGGCCAGGACTCGTCCTGGGAAAATGGCACGTGTAACCATCAGATATCTCTACGCCAGTCTCAGACCTTCAGATTGTAACGCTCCTTATTTAAGCGATTTTAGCTGCAGAGGAGAAATAGTTTATTTCTGTTGTCTTGACAAAGATCATCAACCTTTGTAAAAGTTTGTGTCTGTGCGTACTATTGTATATTCAAGAAAAAAGATTACAGTATTGACTTTTTTTCTTTTTCTTATCACTTTAATTAGATATTTTGGGAGTAAATGTACTTAATTTCCCCCCCCCCAAATTTTTACCTAAATGTACTTAATATTTTACACAATCTAAAAAAAATATTAATAGTCCTACATGTTTTATGCAGAAAATATATATTTTATTTTGAGGTGATTTTTCCTGTGAGATTCACATAGTTATGGAGTATGACTACACTTTGAAACAGTGCCTGAATGAAAACAGGAGTCGCTATCCACATCTGAGAGCAATTTCCTCATATACTTCCTGCAGAAAAGTTATCACTCTGTACGGTTAATAACAGTAGTATCTAAAGCCAAAGACCCAAACGCCTGCCACGAGAAGCTCAAATGAAAGAAGGAACATTAAGTCTATGACATCTTATTTATTTCTAATGCTCAGGTCTAGTTTTTCCTTTTAGCGTTCAAATATTGTACCCGATTTGCAATATTGCCTTTTCCTAATCAAGAAAATAAAGTCAGCCGGTTACAGTAGCTAAAAAAACTCTCTCAGAAGTAAAATATCATAAACAGCTGAACTCCCACTGACATACCACAGAGCGATTAGATCCGAGTCTGGCTCGTGTGATCAGAGCTGGAGCGCAGGGTCAGTAAAGGTCACTGAGTCCGGCTGTCTTTCGCGCTTTCTGCATGAGCGCTCGCAGCTGGAACTGTTTTCGGGACAGCAGACGCACATGCTGAGGACAAAAACGAGACGAAAGGGGATGTCAAACACAATATTACCAAGAATAGTACAATAAATGCCAAGGTTGTGCCAAAACCTGCATTGTTCTCTGAAAGAAGAGATGAACAGACCTTGAGGAAGACCTCCAGGTCGATGACTCCTCTCCGCAGGGCTTCACCCAGGTAAAAGATGGTGTCCTCTATGGCGTTCTCCTCTGCGTACAGGTTCAGGATCTGTTTGTCAAAATTATGCTTCTGATTGAAAAAAAAATTTAATAGAGCAAATACACAAATCAACATTCACACTCAATACGGCTACAAAATTATGATATGCATTTTTAGCTGTATCACCCAGCCATTTTGCAACAATTTTGTGCATGTTTTGTTATTAAATTATGTACCATGCATGCATAAATATATTTATTATACATTATACTGGCCAACAACTTTGCATTCACTATTGAGAAATCCCTATTGAAAAACCTATAAAGACTGGTGACTAAGAAAGCATATGCAAAACAAAATATGTTTTAATTTAATTTACAATGTTCTACTGTGATGAGCAGCTTGGCTGAAATGTGTTCATATCATCTCAGCCATACAGAGACACTCCGAGTGATTACAGACTCACACGTTCCGCATAGCACTGTAGTTAATGTCATGGTTCAAACCTAAGGATGAGAGTTCCCTGAGGACTGCGATCCTTTTGCCTCTCCTGCCACTCTAAATATACCCAGCACCCACTCTGTCAAACGGGATGAACAGGATGAAGTCCTCTGACCTTTACCAGCTCAGAATCTAGTTACAGGCCCAACCTTTCAGAGCAGTCCAACAAGGACACTGTAAAGCAGGCACACAGCCAGGCTGAAGACCAGAAGGCAGGGTCACGACAGAGCAGAGACAGATGAGTAGAGTGAATATGAAGGGTGAAGTGTGTTCTACTGGGTACTTTTATGAAGCTGACATTAACATGCTGTGTCATGTCATTCAGGGTAATCTGTGTCTTGTCCAATATGCTTTCTTATTTTAGATCTAGACTCTCAAGACTGCAATACACTCCCAATTCAGATTATCTCCAATTCAGACAGAATGTTGGTAATCCAGATTAACTCATATTCTCACCAAAAGATGCCAATTCATATGAACTCACATGAAGATTGAATGCTGCTTATTCAAATTCAGAGTAAAGGCCACCGATTCACATTAACCCAAATTCAGAATAAATGCTGCCAATTCTAATTAATTCAGCTTCAAACTGAATGCTTCAGTGTTGTATATTCAGGCATAATGTTTGTTAATTTAGATTAACACAGATTCGGATTGAATGTTGCTAATTCAAGTGAATTCAGATTTGAACTGAATGCTACTAATTCAATTCCGCTCTGATTCATATTCAGTGTTGCCAATTCAGATCAACTAAGATTTAGACAGAATATTGCTAATTAAAGGGGTCATATGATGCTGCTAAAAAGAACATTATTTTGACTTCGTCCACGGTGAAAGCCGATCCGGATATCGTCCTCTTTTGGAAGACCAAACAAAGTAGTTTCGCTTTCACAACGAATCACACAGCGCCTTCACGACATGGCGGCGGCAACAACAATACTACAGCGAGAATAAAAGTTACGCCTTCTTTCTTTGCGTGAACATTTGGGCGGCGTTATGCAAATCTTCCCACATAGTGATGTAGATATGTGGGGGCGTGTTAGAATGAGCCGTTTTAGGTAGGTGTGGCTGACTCTTAACTTTTATAAAGAATATCTCTTTGGATTTGAGACTTTAGTCTTTGCAACTTTACAGATCTTCTTTATGCACCAAGAGCTTGTAACACTCCAAAGAGAAAGGAAAAATTGAAATCGCATCATATGACCCCTTTAAAATTGACTCATATTCATATTTAATGCAGCAAATTTAGATTAATTCATATTCAGATTGACTGTTCCTAATGTAATTTCAGAGTAAATGCTACAAATTTAGATGAACTCAGATTCAGACTGAATTTTGCCAATTCAAATGACTTCAGATTTAAACTGAATTCAACCAATTCAGTTCAGCTCTGATTCAGATTCAGTGTTGCCAGTTCAGATCAACTCATATTCATACTGAATGTTACTCATTTAAATTCAGTGTAGTGGTTATAAATTCAGATTAACAAAGATTCAGATGTTGCCAATTAAAATGAATTCAGATTCAAACTGAATGCTACCAATTCAATTCAGCTCTGATTCATATTCAGTGCTGGTGATTCAGATAGAATGTTGCTAATTAAGACTGACTTACATTCATATTGAATGCAGCAAATTTAGATGAACTCAGACTTAGACTGATTGCTTTGAATATAAAATCAGATTAAATGCTACAAATTTAGATGAACTCAGACTGATTGCTGTGAATATAAAATCAGATTAAATGCTACAAATTTAGATGAACTCAGGTTCAGATTGAATGTTGCCCATTCAAATTAATTCAGATTCAAACTGAATGCTACTATTTCAGTTCAGCTCTGATTCAGTGTTGCCAGTTCAGATCAACTCATATTCATACTGAATGTTGCTCATTTAAATTCAGAGTAGTTGTTATAAATTTAGATGAACTCCGATAAATTCAGAGTAAATGCTACAAATGTAGGATAACTCAGGTTCAGCTTGAATGTTGCCAAATCAAATGAATTCAGATTCAAACTGAATGCTAACAATTGCTCTGATTCCAATTCAGTGTTGTCAATTCAGATTAAGACATTACATTAAGACATAATGTTTGTTAATTTAGATTATCCATACTGAATGCAGTCAATTTAGATCAACTTGAATTGTTGGCAATTCAAATTAATTCAAATTCAAAATTAATTCTAGCAGTTCAGTTTAACTGTGATTTAGATTAAGTGTTGCTGATTCAGATCAACTTAGAATGCTTTTAATTCAGATTAACTTATTTTATATTAATATTAAATCTAACAAATTTATATTAACAGTAACACTAATTAAGACTAAATGTTGCTCATTAAAATTTAGAGTAAATGCTACCAATTCAGATTAATGCAGATTTACAATAAATGCTAGCAGTCTGCTTGAACTGGGATTCAAATTCAGTGTTGCCACTTCAAATGAACTCAGATTTAGACAGAACATTGCAAATTCACATCAATACAGATGCAGATTAAATTTTGCCAATTCAAGTGGAAAGAGGGCTAAAAACAAATCTGAAAAATGACATCTGAAGACTACAACCTGAAACTGAAAATTGAATCCACATAGCTTATTCCAGGATTACTGAGATTTGCAGTATGATTTTGTGCTGTGTTCGATACAACAATGTATCGTCACAGAGATTTGACGATATGAGTATCAATACAGCTGGCCCTGTATCGATATTGTGGCATGTGCGCTGCAGTGGACTGCGCTTAATTTGAATACAAGAACACCGTTTAAAATGGAGTACAAAAGTGCGAGGTTTCTAAATAATAATGAATAGAGCATAGTATAATAATAATAAGCGTTAACATATAGGCTACAAAAAGGTTTAATCTGGCCGCAGAGGAACACAACTGGGGTTGCCTGATATAAAGAGACGTAATCCCCGAAACAGAGCTTCACACTTGCGCAATACGGAAATATCTGCTAAGTGTGTTACTTGTTTTTGTCAACCTGGCAACCATGTGCACGCGCTCTCCAGTGTGGATAAACGCACTTGCTTTCTGAAAACACCGGTAAGCTTGCAGTTTAGCGATCTCCACTTCAATATTCTATTCTCAGAAAAGTGTAATTCATCAAGTGTTTATTTACGAGAGAGAGAGAGAGAGAAAGAGAGAGAGAGGGGCTGTGTATGTATGAATTACCACAGTTTTGCCGCGTTTCTCTATTAACAGTGAAGCTGTGGCTTTAATTCCTTTAGAAACGATGTTACCAGCTCCTTGTTGAGAAAGATAATGTAGCTCTTGAGCGATTAAGCTATTTTATTGATAAAATTGTGGGGCAGCACTGAGAAGTTTGTGTTGCTGAATGTCTGAGTGCGGCCGCAACGGGATCTGTGTGAGTGACTGAGCATGTGTGTGTGCGTTAGATACAGAAGACAGCGCATTAGTTTAGAACTCTTCTAATTTTTATTTTTTTAAACGTAGAAAGTGTGTTAATTTGTGAAATGATAACCTACCAGCAATGTAAAGATGATTTTGTAATATATTAGTATGAGTGCATTACAATATAAATTTATTAGAACGAGTACATTATTATTTATGGGCTTAAAAACAAGATGCAAACAATCAGAATATTGTACCTGGTGGGGAGTGCACAATGTAAACATGAAACATATGCCATTACCTATATTGTACTGTGGTACAGTTATGGAGGCCCTTTATAATGCAGAGGTCAACTGCCTGCTCTGCCAGTAGTTAGCAACAGTCCTATAGTATGCAGTGTTTAATAAACAGCTGTTTTACTCAATTCTGCTGAGGTGAAAATTAGTGCAGTCCTGTATCGTGATACGTACCGTATCATGTCCTCTGTATCGGGATACGTATCGTATCATGACTTTGCTGGTGATACACAGCCCTAGTATGATTGTATATGATGTAGTTTAGCTATAAAACTGAGCCAAAGGCAAACATGCCAACTCACCCACAGTAGTGACAGGAGTCTGGGAAGTGTAATGCGCTGGACCGCCTGTGGCAGGATAAGCATTGCCTCCTGGGTAAGGGTAACCTGGATAACCACTGAAGCGGACACAAATCATTACATAACCAGTTAATCACGCTCTGTAATTACAACACAGGTTTTTATACCAAGTGTTTTCATATCATGAGTGCTGAAAAAAATACAAATAATTTTAACAGGTTTATTAAATGTTGATTAGACTGTTGCATGATCTTTGGCCAGACTGAAGGAGTCATTACCAGGGGTTTGGGTTGGGCCCGTATGGAGATACTGCTGGCATTCCTGGCATATAGGACTCTGGAACGAGGAGCAGGACACAAAACAAACACTTACATATGCACTGCTCGTGCTGGGAGACCTCTGCTGTTTAAAACAGGCATTACTTTGACAATTGGGAATGGTTAATTGATCATGTAAAGCTTATTTTATATATGAGCAATCTGAGCTAAAAATTAAGTTGCATAAATATATCTCCAGGTCAAGAAATGCCTGTGTACTATTGCCAAAACCAAAAGAAAAAAAACAACAAAGAAATTATATTTTGCATAAATAAAACATTAAGTTTATTTTTAGTACCATTAAAATTAATATACATATATATGTGTGTGTGTGTGTACTGATATATATGGTTTATGAGGACACACGTGTATAATGACATGGGTACTACAATGTAAACATGGTTTATGAGGACACTTCCTGTGTCCCCCCGTAAAACGAAAGGCTTAAAAAAACATACAAAACAGTGTATTATGAAATTCAAAAAAGGGGTAGGTTTGGCGTAGGGCAATAGAAAATACAGTTTGTACAGTATAAAAAACACTACGCCTATGGAGAGCCTGTAAACCACAAATGCAAGTACAAATGCACTGTTACAAATACTACCATGTGTATCAGTGTTGTTATTAATTACAACTAAAATATTTAAAGGGGTCATATGATGCAATTTCAAGTTTTCCTTTCCCTTTGGACTGTTACAAGCTGTTCGTGCATAGATTGCAAAGACTAAAGTCTCAAACCCAAAGAGATATTCTTTATAAAAGTTAAGCAACGAATGCTTCGTTTATAATGGGTTTTCATGTTTTTGTCTCATTGCTCCGGCCGGACAGGGTATCACAGTATGGTGAGGGGCGTAACATTTCCGTCACACGCTTGAGGTATTCGGCCATATCCAGCAGCCACAAGCACACGGGGATATTGTACACATTCCCTGAAACAGGAAAACATGCGTGGTTATATGTTATAATGCTGCCTTCATCTTTACACGATAAACAGTTCTCTAACCCACCTCTATAACTAACTGGAACAGTTCCTGTGAGGCTCATCAAGTCTCTGGACGATCCGTCATTAAACACTGTGAAAGAAACAGCAGTTATTCATGGAAAACTCAAAGAATTACGTTCCCAGGATGAGAAAATCTTACCGTACGCATCCATAACAGGTTTGAGGTCTTTGTACTGAGAGATGACGTTTGTTATCTCTCGGACAGTGAGATCTCTGTATTTGTATTGCTGGAATATAGAAAATAATACACGTATATAAATAACCCCATTATAAAGCCTTATCACAATGAAATGTCTAAAAATATATTGTATCAACTATCAAATTATTTAAATGTGCATTCAACAATAATATGTTATAAGTGTAAAAAAATGTTTGCCTTTGATATTAAAGTTATTATAAAATATTTATATAATTATTTTCACTTTCAAAAAGTAAAACAACATATGAAATCAACTAAATCCAGTATGGCAACCGTTTTAGCATATCTTAAATAAATACAGACGAATAACCTGCCTAATACAGTAGATATGAGATTATTTTCCGTGTTTACACAATAATATTAAACACCCATCATATTCTTACCCGTTCAATTTAACTAACTAACAAGAATAAACACAATACTGACCTTCAGCATCTTTTTAAGAGTTGCTTCGTTGACAACAGCCATGATTTACTACACAAATATAAACAAACACACTACACTCCAGAGAAATAACCGAATAATTGTGTGAAATGTGAAATAAACGAGTGTGTCTGAGCTCAGGCCAAGACTCCGATAGACCCAGAAACACTCGTATTAACGCCTGCTGTCCGACACAAACACACTCCAAACACCTCAATAGCCCATTAACACGGTCCGAATAATAGCTACTTAATGAGAACTCAATAAATGTAGGTAAAATCGGCCAGCATTCATCTCGAGGAAGATAAACAAGACGAGCGGCGCGAGCGTCACAGCGGTTTCACTTCCGGTGGGAGTGTGATGGGTTTTCCAAAATAAAGGTCTGACAAGTGGTTTCTGTTAACTTATTTAATTCAGAAGTCATAATTCATAATTTATTATAATAAAATAATTATGGTCTATTTTATCATCATTCATTTGTAATTTTACTAGTTTAGGTTGGATCACATTTTTAAATGCGCAGTTAAGCATTCCACGTCCACAGACAAAACCAGCACTTGGCAATTTAATGAATACAACTTAAAAGTATCCACTTTTTTTTTTTTTTTTTATAAAACTGAGTGAATATGTTGTGATTGTAATATCCTACTGTGTATATCTGCATATTTACATATTTATGTAGGTGTTTTTTTTATACAGGTCAATATGAATACATATATATATATATTTTTTAAACATTTAACTGAGCATGAATCACTAGGAAAACCTTGCTTCATAAACATGTATATTTACATAAAATGTACATAAAATTTGAGTATTTACATTCATGATGCTCAAATTTCACATTCATCATTATTATTTGTAAACAAAAGTTTACAGTTTCATGCAAATGTCTACTTTAACAAGAACACGCGTGTACAAAATCACATTGCAGATACATCTAGCAAGCTAACAGACGGTTTCGTTATGTTCAGAGAAAGGAAGATCGTCCTCTCTGTCCAGCGTCACGTGTGAGATTTCCTCAACTGAGCGTTTGTAATAAGCAGAACCTGCTGTAAAGAAACATGAATTGTCATTTTACCTAAACATCCACACAAATACACAAATGCATTTTCTTTAAAGGGGTCCTATTATGCTCTTTTACAAAGCCTTGATTTTGTTTTGGGGGTGAACTAGAACAGGCTCTCATACTAGGTTGTTCGAAAAACACATTATTTTTCACATATTTTACATTATTACAACACCTCTCTCCCCAGTCTGGCATGAACGGCTCGAATAGTTCCTGTATCAAATGAAGGCCCGCCTTCTGAAAT